TGTGCAGGTCCCTCCATTAAGGAGGCTGGTGTTATATTACAGGCTGTTTTTAACATTATTCAGACTCAGCTCGCTGAACTTAAGCTTATTTTAAATGTTGATAAAACCAAGGTAATGCTATTTTCAAAAGCTAAAAAGACACCAGAGCCTGTTTTGGATATTGTTACTAGCAAGGACAAGTACTTGAAGTGGTTACCAGTTATAAATACCTAGGTATCTGGCTTGATGATTGTCTTACTTTTAAACTTCAGGTCAATAACCTGCTTAAAAAGCTGAGGGTTAGACTAGGTTTCTTTTTCCGAAACAAGTCCTGTTTCTCTTTTGAAACCAGGAAAAGGCTAGTCACTGTGACCTTTTTACCTGTGCTGGACTATGGTGATTTGATCTATATGAATGCACCTGCCCATTGCCTGGAAAAGTTAGATGCCACCTATCACAGTGCCCTGAGATTTGTTATTAACTGTAAAGCCCTTACTCATCACTGTACCCTGTATGCCAAGGCAGGTCTGCCTTCACTAACTGTACGGAGGCTCAGTCATTGGTACATGTTAATTTACAAAGCCATGTTGGGTAAACTACCTTTTTATATCTGCTCTCTGATCTCTCGACGAATTGAAAGTACATATTGCCTGAGATCTCATGATGTTGTTTTATTAAATGTGCCAAGTTTTATTAAATGTGCCAAGTGCTAGGACTGTCTTAGGGAAGAAAGCTTTTAGTTGTGCAGCTCCACTAAATTGGAACAGTCTGCAAACATGTTTAAAACTGAGCACTTTGGTTCCCCTGCATCATTTTAAAACTCAGCTGGGTGACATGCTGTTTGATACTCATGGTACCTGTCTCTGTAAATAGAGTTTGTAAACTGTACCCTGTACATTATGTTGTATGTCATCCTTATTGTTGTTCTGTTGTTTTTATGTTACATGTGTAACTAATGTCCTGCAGGTCACCCTTGAAAAAGAGATCTTTTGATCTCAAGGGGCTTTCACCTGGTTAAATAAAGGCTACAAACAAACTGTCAGCTAACAGCAACTTGTCCACTCTGCTAGGCTACAACCATAGAGGCTACAACGTTAGTGAGTTGTAGTTACTGTACTTGACCCTTTAGCTTTGGCCGTGTTCGTGGTGATTGTGCCTTTTAGGGAATATTGTTACAAATACCAGACGATTAAAATGTTGTGCTGTGCGCTTGAATGTACTAACAGAACTTCCAAGAAGTCTAAAATGATAATATTATACATGTTAACCCCGTTCGCAGGTGTTTGTGTGCTTGGTAGCTGAGCTTGTTACTTATTAGCCAGCTAAGGACGTAACCCTTTATGCATACATATACATTTTAGTTTATGATTCAGCCTTGGGTAAGACTTTTATAGTCTATGGCTATGACGCCCATAATGCTAAACGGGAGCAAATGTTAATAGGGGACCCAATTATCCCAGTGGTGGCCGCCGGAGCTAACGGAGCCGCAGGGGGCTAGCTCCAGCCGGTGTCCCGGAGCTAGCCCACTGCGGCATCGTTAGGTCCGGGCGGTGGAGTCCGTCGTTATAACTGGAGATCAAGGAATGCAGCGAAACGCAGACTTGGTTCGCCTGCTGTAGTATTAGCTAAATAAATTATGTTGAATAAGGCTTATTAAGCTGAACATCGCCACAATTGTTCTGCTATGTATCGGTACTTCTTTTCTTAACGTGTGAATGACAAGCATTAAGAATAACAAAATATAGCTAATTCTCTTGCAGATTGTCTCATTTGATTATGAATGTAACGTTTATATAGGGGAACTACACTGTTAGCAGTAACTTGGTATGCATGTATTTCATGTTAGCTTAGCTTCTTAGCTTGAGCTAGCTCTGTTTACTTCCAGTTCGGAGGCAGCAGGTCCCGCCTCGGCTCCGCCTCTTTGCCCTTATTTGGAGCAGGCGGGATTAGACTCTGACGTCACAGTCGAGCCATTAGTGGCCGACTCCGCCTACTAAGGGCTTCACGGCAACTCTGCAGAATCCTATGGGTGACGTCACGGACCCTACGTCCATTTATATATATACAGTCTATGAGCTCTACGCGATAGCGTCATAGACTTCTTCTTCGGCAGTTATAGCGGTCGCGGTAAAGCAGGATATTGAATAGTTGTTTTTTGTCTTTCCAAAGGATTTGTTGACTGAAAGTAAACGATCCTGTAATCAAAGCCATATCGAAGAGTCCTGAGATTATATTACTGGTATTTTATCATCTATAAATAGCCTGTGTGCATCCTCAAATGTCGTTTTCAGGACAAACAAAAGACGTTTTAAATATCTTATCAGCTGGTGTAAGTGCAGAATATTGAATATAACCTTGACTATTACTGTGTACTTCATTTTATATATAGGCTATATATACACATATTTATTCATTTATAAACATATATATAAACACACTTATATGTACTCACACATGTATTTATTCATGTATACACACAGATGTATTCATTCATTTATACACACACTCACATATATACACTTTATATGAATTCATTTGTACACACACATACATATATATATATATATAAACAAAACAACACAATATAATAAAAACAGTTGCAATAATAACATAATATGGTATGATCAATTCTACCCTTTTGTTTTTGCTCCCATATTTCAATTAAAAGATATTTTTCAAAATCCATATTGGTGGGGGCTCTTTTGCAAAGATAACACCACCTGACAGTTGTTGCAGATTATACAGCGTACTTGTTACTTACACACATGTGCGATGGTCCCAAAAAAGCCAAAATCTGCACTGTAAAAAAAACAAAACATTTATTAGGCACTCTGAATAAGGGTTGACTGTGTTATAATCATGCCTGTTATTAATGTCAAATGTTATGTTGTATTATATAACAATAGACATTTATAACATATTATAAATGTCTATCTTTAAATAAAATATTAAATAGATACCTTTACATCCTAAACAGAAGGTCAAAACGTAAATATGTTACATGACAAACAAAAAAACAAAACATTATATATAGGCTATATATACAGATGTTTGCTAATGTATCCCTCTTATATCCATCAGGAATTAATATTAAATGATGAATTAACATTACCTCAGCACTGCATAAGTGTGGTCGTCAGTCATATTGACAAAGAAGCACTATTATATTGTATATATTAATATGCGGTGTTTAAAAGGATGGTATTTCGCTTGTCAGATTCAGATCTGGGGTGTGCCGCGTCTATGACGCTATCGCGTAGAGCTACGTCGATCCTTGCGTAATGCGGAAGTGGGCGTGGTTAAATCTAAACTGGGTTGGAAAAACGATAGATGGTTTCCCGGCTAATACGGGACGGTTGGCAACCCTAGTGTAGGCCTACATATGTATACTTATATTATTTTTTCAAGTGTGGTTTAAAGTAAACTTATATAAAGTTATTGGGTTGAGCCAGGTGGATGCAATCAGGTAATTAGGACAGAGCCTCTGTTTTTAGATGGGGTTTGTGGCCATGCTGTAGGCCTGACGTTTAAAATAAATGATCAAATCTTATCTGTTAAGATGAATGTTTTATTTAAAAGGTTTTTATGTATTTGTTTAAGGAGGGACCCCAGAGCCAAGGGCAGGCCGAGCAGACCGCCTTCTCCCGCCGCAGGCAGGATCAAACTCTCGGTCCGGTGATGGGCTCCGTGTAACAAGTCCCCTCAGTCTGTGCGGGGAGCCGCGCCGTGCCCAGGTACTCCCCGTTCTGCACCACGGTGATGCTGCTGTCATCGCTCGCCTCTCCTCTGGTGGTGCCCTCGGCTCCCTCCGCCGCCACACTGCCCAGCACACTGGAGATCACTATCCCGTCGGGGGTCGCCAGTCTCTGGCACTGCTATTTTGGGGGTCGCGGGCTGAAAACTCTTATCATACTTAATGGATAGTAGCACATGATATATATTGTACGACTTTGTAATTTTTGAATGTTGATATGTATTCGCTCATAGCCTACTGTGCGTTTCACACAGACAATAAAAGTGAATTTTGAAATGACAAATAGGTTTATGTTTCAAGTTTATTTGCATTAAAAACGTGTTTTTAAACCCTTCTGTTCAAAGTTGATATTTTGTTTGTTAAAAGATTAAATCTTTAAAAACATACTGTTTGCCATTTTTAAAGTTTGATGGAAGAAATTAAATATAGGTCACTGACGTGGAGCTTTAGGCCTGCAATGCTTTAACAAAAAATGTTTCAATTTTGAAGAGTGAATATGGATGTTAAATTCACAAATTAGTATGAACAGGATCTTGAGCCATGAAGCCTGTTTTTAAAGTACAGAAACATTCAGAATGCATGACGATTCCTTCAAAGGTTTTGTAATAGACGCCTAGCACTCTTAATTTATAAAGTAATAATAATAAATGTGAATGATTGAGCTCATTAGTGGCCTGACTGGCCCTCCTGATTTGATCTAGTAAATGATGATCATTGTGAAGGGGTGTCCAGCCCATATCAATAATATACCAATTTACAGGATAATGTGAGATTCAGAAATTTAAAAATCATGTCTTCATGTTATAGTAGGCTACCTTACATGAACCTGTTTGAAACCTTAATGTGATTATTTATATCTTAAAACCTGTAACAACTATATTTAGATGTTCATAAATATATACATGTATGTATAAATACATATGTAGCAGTTAGACAAACATTAATAGATTATCTCATTATTACCTATTTTATATGTAGGCCTACTAAAAAATAAAAATAAAGTTTACTAAGTCCCTTTTTTGTTTTAATTTATTAGACAAAATGATTTGTGCTTAAAGTCATATACTGTTGTGTCTCAAATGGATAGACTAGATTATTAATGTATTTGCCTAATAGTTGCTTAAAATGCTACAATAACATTTGCAATTCGTTTTTAATCTGCCATGTACGGTATCAACGTCTCTCAGTCACCGTAGTGTCGTGTCAGGTGGGCGTGTCGTGTAGGGGGCGTGTCGTGTACTTGCTGCGGCTGCAGCTAGACCAAATGGTTTAAATCATGGTTGAAATGCCCAGCATACATGTGGTACCAAGCAAGCCTCCTCGACATTGAGAAACGGCCACGGTGATGTGTGCGCGCGCGCGCGCGCGTGCTGAGGCCAAACACTGCTCCCAGGTCTCGGAATATTTAAATGACTCACTGATCTTTTTATGGAAAGTGGATAATGATCGCGCAGGAGGGATTCCCCCGAACTTGTTCCGCGTATTGCTGACAGGAATGACTCGCTGTGATTGACGGATGAACCATGGGGACGAAGATCAGCTTTTCTTCGTGCTGGCATAGTTTTTTTAAATGTTTTAAAAAGCCGAACCGTGAGGAAAAGGGTGTCACGGTTTTTGTAAATCCCGCTGCTGACAGTGAAGTAGATGCAGACTTTCATTCTAAACGCACCTTACCACCGCTCCCAGCCGGGGGGCCCGGGGGTGCCGGGGACCTGTACATCGCCCAATATGACTACAACGCCCGCACGGAGGAGGACCTGAGCTTCCGCACCGGGGACACGTTGGAGGCTCTGGACAAAAGCGCTGGGGACTGGTGGTTTGCCAAAGCCCTCAACGGGGTATCGGCGCCCAAAAAGGGATACATCCCGGCGAACTATGTGGCCCCTGTGGAGAGTATCGATGCAGAACCGTGAGTCCACCATCTTCAGTTCCTGCTTCCATATTCATTTAGAGTTCTCCAACATAGTGCTCCCCCTCTCTTCAAGCCCAACCAGAGAGTTTCCCAGTTACCTTGTTATCTTCCAACAGAGGTGGAAATTACTCAAATCTTGTACTTAAATTAAAGTAAAAGTACTCAGATGTTGTACTTCAGTTAAAGTAGAAGTACTCTGAGTGTATGAATACTCCGTTACAAGTAAACGTCCTGTATTCAAAATGTTCCTCAAGTAAAAGTAGAAAATTATTATCATCAAAATATAGTGAAAGTAGCGACAGTAAAATTATTCATTGTGCAGATTGGTCCATTTCAGAATAATATATATGATATGTTTTATAAGGATTGATCATGAAAGTGTTCTCAAAGCTGGTGAAGGTGCAGCTAGTTTGAATGACTTTGTATACTGCAGGGTAGCTGGTGGATTTACTCCAGGTGGAACTAGAGTCTGATTTAACACTTGATTAGATTTCATATCATGAATCAAAATCTCAGGGTTCTTACAGTCATTAAAAACCTGGAAAAGTCATGGAAATTTAAAATGCTAATTCCAGGCCCTGGAAAAGTTATGGAAAACAATATTTGTCCCAAAGTTTTGGAAAAGTCATGGAAATGTAACTAAAGTTGCGTCAAATATATTTTATCTAATCAACAAAATAGTAATAATATAATGATAATAATACTGTGTTGTAATGAAACGTAAAATGGCATTTAACTGACGAGGTGTTTTGCTGGTGAGAGATTTTAGTTGCTTTAGCGTGTAGAAGCTAGTAAGTCTACTATTTGATTTGTTTCAGACCTTATTTTCCTGTTCCATGTTAAAATAAACAATTTTCAGTGGTAGCCTACCGCTGAGAAAGAGTAATGTTTTTGGTCATGGAAAATTAGGTAAAGGTCATGGAAAAGTCATTGAAAATTATTGGTGAAAAAGTGTATGAACCCTGAAATCTGTAAAGTAACTAAAGGTATTAAATAAATGTAGTGGAGTAAAGTACACCATTTAACTCTGATTTATAGTGGGGTAGAAGTACAAAGTAGCATTACATGGAAATACTCAAGTAAAGTACAAGTACCTCAAAATTGAACCAGTACTTGAGTACATTTACTTAGTTACTTCCAATGCCTGTGTTCCAAGATTGTTAGGAAATCCTACTGACTGACAGAATATAGGTCTTCTAAGAGCCATAACTTTGTATTTTGATACAGATGTACAAGGCGGATCAGTTTTATTTGTATAGGTCTTTACTGCTGAATAATGCTACAAAGCAAAGGCTTGGCTTAAACTAGTTATTGATTATCTGTGAGCAGGAAATGTAGGCCTACAGGTTAATCATTTCCTGGCAGTAAGTCTGAAAACACATGCAACAATGCTTTGAAACACCTCGCTGATGTTGTGTTGTTTCAGAGCAATGACTTCATCTGTCTACCAGAAACTTGTTTTGCAGCATGATTATTTTTGGCTGCAGGTAGCCAGCTCTACGAAAGGCCTCGCTCAGATACAGTTCTGTGAATGCGAACATTTACACACATTGTGTTCACTAACACAACAAAGAACTAGGCTTTTATCTCCTCTATTTCTGCGTGTAGCTGAATGGTTGGAAATAGTTTGTCACAAAGGTCCAACCCGTGTCTGTGACTCATTCTCAGCATGCTCGGCCTCTCAGTGAAACCTGTTTCTTCCTAGCTGTTTTTCCTGTTTTGTTCTCATGGACAAATGTTCCGCATCATTTGTGTCATAGTTAACCTCACAAAAAACCTGAGACAGATGGAGGAGTTCCAATTTGATGTGGGTTGGTGCTTTACATTTAGCCTTTGATGAATGTAACATTGCACATTTCCTAATACATGTCCAAAATGTTTATATTCTGTTTTGGCTCACCTCTGATAAATGTGAGCTTCCAGTTATTTTCATATGTAGTCTGTAGAGATTTTCAGTTTGATCCGGGGCCGGAACCATCTGCCTGGCAACCTGGGCAAAGAAATAACTTGTGGGCCCCCTTGTTGACCCCCATATGTATGTCTGTCATGATGAACTAATTCAGGGTAGGGCTGCTCGATTATGGCAAAAATCATAATCTCGATTATTTGGGTCAATAATTGTATTGAACATCCATTTATTGTACTTTAAAACAAATACAAATAATAATTTGAACTTTTTAACTGTTGAATTATACGTTCAGGGTAATCAACTGAAAAACCAATACAAAATCAAATATATTGTACATTTAAATAAATACCAATAAATATGTTGCAGTGCACTGTCACAACCTGAAAACTCCTTAACATATAGCCAACATTTTGGTAAAACATATTCAACATATTCCACTCAGTTAAACATTAAAGGCTGGCCACCGTCATGGTCCAGAAGTAACAGGAAATAAATGTTGAACTACAATTTAAGACCAAATAACAATATTTTGCTAGAAACTAGGGCTGCTCGATTATGGCAAAAATCATAATCTCGATTATTTGGGTCAATAATTGATATCACCATTATTAAAAACGATCCATTTACTTTGAAAAGATCAATTTATTGAAGAAAATGTTTTTGAACAGTATGTTTTTAACAGTTGATTACCCTGAACTTTAAGTATAACTCAACTGAAAAACCAATATAAAAATTAATAATACAAAAATAATTGTTATATTTCGATTACGTTGTTTTCGTAATCGTTGCAAGCCATAATCGTAATTGCGATTAAAATACGATTAATTGAGCAGCCTTAATTCAGGGTTAAGTATAATTTTAGATCAATTCTATGTTCTTATTCCATAAAATCATGAAAATACTACAATTATTGGTTAGACTTCTACAGCCTGGCTGGGACTCCTGCTTGTGGTGAATGTGGATTAAACGCAGTGCCCCCCCATGCAGCTGTGTGGCTCATAGATGAGCCTTTCAAAGAGTGGTGCAGTGATGATGTATTGTTGTAGAACGACCCAGAAATTGGCATTGCATTTTTGAGTGGGGGAAGGAGATGGTGTTATACAGTGTTTTAGTGCTTAGACAGTTCACAGTTTGCAATCAATAAAAGTATTGATAATGCAGTTTACAGCCTTTACATTTGACAAGTTCTGCTTCCTCATACATTGTGATTGCAGATGGTATTTTCCCGACACCAAGCGGCTGGATGCAGAGAAGATGCTGCTGGCAGAGGGGAACCAGCACGGAGCCTTCCTCATCAGGAACTGTGAGAGTCAGAGAGGCGAGCGCTCCCTCTCAGGTGAGAGAAGACTGGGCCTACCCTACTGGTCTCTAAAACAATGTGAACAAATACATATATCTCAAAATGGATTTCCAGGAAGTGAAGTCACTTATAGATAATAACTTAAATGATTTTCCTTTGAAACAATTAAGGAGATTTTAAAAGCCATATGGTAAACCCTCTATCAATGAACTGCTACACTATCAGAATAATTATCAACGTATCATAACTTGGGAAGCTGTTTGCTGTAGTAATGTCTGTCATTGTCTGAACATTCTTAAAGCAAACTGACTTCATTATAATCGCACTATTGTACCATTCTGCTGTGTGCGTACTTCTCTGCCACAAAACACACATTTCCAAATACCCTATTGTTAAGATCTCTTATCATCAATTGACTCAAAGGATTAGTGGTTTCAGGGTCATGAAGTGGAATACATCGAGGTCTGTGCTCCCATAAAGCAGGCTGATAACTTTATCTCCCTCTTTTCTAATCTGTGTTCTCACTCCGGCCTTGCTCTTTCCATTATGACTGAATTCTTTCCATGTTCATTAATTACAGCCAGTTGATGACCTCATCAGCCCCAGGTTATTTCACAGAGTGTGTGGGAATACGGTGAAAATGCATTTAACCCATCTTTATTTTACTTATTTAATAGCAAGGCATCCAAGCAACAAATGGTTTTAAATATATTTAATAAATAGTATTGTGTGAACCTCAGAGAACCCCAGTTAATCTAGGAAAGGCTGAATACAATAATATGAATGAATAGTTATTGTTCTATTACAACATTTTTTTTTTTAAGATTTTGATCATTAGAATATATTGTTCATGCTTATTTCTTTAGGCAGCAATACATTGACAAAGAAAAACACACTTTTGTAATGTTTGCATTCTAATTCAAGGTTATGAAGAGTCCCTTTTTTCTTCTCCTGCTGATGTTCAGGTATATATCAGTATGTAGTGTCTCTACTTTAAAGAGTCCTCTCCTGCTGATGTTCAGGTGTATATCAGTATGTAGTGTCTCTACTTTAAAGAGTCCTCTCCTGCTGATGTTCAGGTGTATATCAGTATGTAGTGTCTCTACTTTAAAGAGTCCTCTCCTGCTGATGTTCAGGTGTATATCAGTATGTAGTGTCTCTACTTTAAAGAGTCCTCTCCTGCTGATGTTCAGGTGTATATCAGTATGTAGTGTCTCTACTTTAAAGAGTCCTCTCCTGCTGATGTTCAGGTGTATATCAGTATGTAGTGTCTCTACTTTAAAGAGTCCTCTCCTGCTGATGTTCAGGTGTATATCAGTATGTAGTGTCTCTACTTTAAAGAGTCCTCTCCTGCTGATGTTCAGGGGCCTCATTTATAAAGGGATATACGCTCAAAAAATGGCGTACGCCAGTTTCGACGCAATGTTTGCGATTTATAAAATACTAACTTGACGGGAAAATGTGCTGTCCTCCACGCAAACTCTAACCCATGCGTACGCACTAAGCACAACAACGGGAGACGAGAAACTTCGACACCGTTGGCAGAAGGAAGAATGGAGAGAAATATGTGGAAATAATACCATAAATAAAATGTTACCTCTCATTTATCATATATGAAGAATTCATTTTCAAACATTGATTAAAGCCAATCTTAAAATGATTAAACAAACGCCTGTTTGAGACTCCTCAGTGCACACAAAAACATAACTTGGAGAAATAAATAAATACGGATATGTTATTTAAAACCACCTCGAATATGTTGTGTTAATGTTATGAAATGTTTTCTCATAAATGATGCGGTAAGCAGGAGGACAGAATTACGTCTAAACTGACGCCGTTTTGCATTTCTATAGGTTGATACGAGCATGGTTTTATATACTATCACGTTTAATCGTGTTTTATGCCGTTTGCCAAGACTTGATAAGTCGCTCGTAAAACACAGGAGGTATGGAAACTAAGAACACCATACAGTATGTGGTCAATTGTAAAGCCAATATAACACAACACATTAGTTGTATTTCCTTTAACTGGTGGATTATGGATATATAGTTGCTGATCGACAGCTGGGACACAAACCACCAAATACAAACAAATAATTCAGATCCAGTCGTCATGACTCCACACCGGGGGGATTCCCCGATCATTTCTTACAGTCTCTCATCAAGGGGGGGTCTCCTGTCCCCGGTACAAACACACTGCCTGAGGAAGGCTATGTGTATTTTTTTTGTCATGAACCTTTTTCGGACCCCTTATTTATTTATTTTGGTGACGATCCGACCTCCATGCTGCTACTCTGGTTCAAACTGCATCCACCAAACAATATGATTTATCTCCACCTCCCCAAAATAACCAAAATCTGACACGGTGTGAGATGTCTTTTTTAGCTGTTCTGTCGTCATTTCCTGCGATCTTCTTCATGCAGTCAGTCAGAATGAATGAATGGGCGTTTCTTTGACTATTCATAGGCAAATATGGGCGTTACGTGAAGCCCGCAAAAGCTGCACCGCATTTCGAGTTGATTGTGATTTATAAAGGGAAACCGGCGTAAGAAGTGCCGTACGCACTTCTTACGCCGGTACGCAATGTTTTGTGAATCGGAAAATGTCGGAACATTTCTGTACCTATTTTTTTGGCTTTCTACTACGTAAGCAACCTTCCCACGTGAATCCTACGCACGGCGTATATAAATGAGGCCCCAGGTGTATATCAGTATGTAGTGTCTCTACTTTAAAGAGTCCTCTCCTGCTGATGTTCAGGTGTATATCAGTATGTAGTGTCTCTACTTTAAAGAGTCCTCTCCTGCTGATGTTCAGGTGTATATCAGTATGTAGTGTCTCTACTTTAAATAGTCCTCTCCTGCTGATGTCCAGGTGTATATCAGTATGTAGTGTCTCTACTTTAAAGAGTCCTCTCCTGCTGATGTTCAGGTGTATATCAGTATTTAGTGTCTCTACTTTAAAGAGTCCTCTCCTGCTGATGTTCAGGTGTATATCAGTATGTAGTGTCTCTACTTTAAATAGTCCTCTCCTGCTGATGTCCAGGTGTATATCAGTATGTAGTGTCTCTCCTTTAAAGAGTCCTCTCCTGCTGATGTTCAGGTGTATATCAGTATGTAGTGTCTCTACTTTAAAGAGTCCTCTCCTGCTGATGTTCAGGTGTATATCAGTATGTAGTGTCTCTACTTTAAAGAGTCCTCTCCTGCTGATGTTCAGGTGTATATCAGTATGTAGTGTCTCTACTTTAAAGAGTCCTCTCCTGCTGATGTTCAGGTGTATATCAGTATGTAGTGTCTCTACTTTAAATAGTCCTCTCCTGCTGATGTCCAGGTGTATATCAGTATGTAGTGTCTCTACTTTAAAGAGTCCTCTCCTGCTGATGTTCAGGTGTATATCAGTATTTAGTGTCTCTACTTTAAAGAGTCCTCTCCTGCTGATGTTCAGGTGTATATCAGTATGTAGTGTCTCTACTTTAAATAGTCCTCTCCTGCTGATGTCCAGGTGTATATCAGTATGTAGTGTCTCTCCTTTAAAGAGTCCTCTCCTGCTGATGTTCAGGTGTATATCAGTATGTAGTGTCTCTACATGTCTCCATGCTTTAATGTTCAAAAAGCACTTTATTGTTCTCATACTGCCTGTGCTGCAGCACCTCTTTTCACCCTCTGTCTGAAACCAGAGCCCACTCTGCACTGATTGGTTAGCTGGCGTCCATTTTAGGCTTTTCAGGCAGGGGAGCAGTGTGTGGTAGAGAAACTCCCTCTGGAGGGAACATTGGGATTGTAGCCTTTACAGACCATTTACATGCACAAAAACCTATAGGACACACTACAGGAGAGGGAACGCCCCCCAAAACATGCGTAGGCTTTGTTTGATAAAGACTTGAAGCCTCCTGTCAGAGGAAACCTTACCTCACAATTCCTGCTCTTGTGTAAACTCTGATGTTGGCTTGTGTTTCAGTGCTGGACTGTGGGAAGGTGAAGCATTACAAACTGAAAAAACTGGAGAATGGTCACGTGTTTGTGTCCAGGGCCCGATCCTTCCTTACTGTACAGGAGTTGGTGGCTCATTACTCCCAGGAGGCCGATGGCCTCTGTGTGCGTCTGGGGGAGCCTTGCAAAAAGGTAAACACATCCTCTCAAATCCTTTCATCCCTTGTTTTCTTCCTAAAGTTCATGTTTGAATACAGTATGAAGTCATGGTGATGTGAGTAGACTTTGACTCTTCCTGTGTGTGCAGATGGAGGCTCCACAGACTCACGGCCTGTCCTACAACACCGTGGACCAATGGGAGATTGATCGCAACTCCATCAAGTTGCTAAGGAAGCTTGGCGCCGGACAGTTTGGAGAAGTGTTCGAAGGCCTGTGGAACGAGACCACAGCAGTCGCAGTGAAGACCCTCAAACCTGGTACACTAATGCCTCCACTCTCTTACTGGAAGGGTTAAACCAGAAACATGCTAGTGTTAAGGATGGGGAAACAACTGTTACCGTAACTGTGGAAGTTGATTTGATCCTTCTAATAGAGATGGGATAAATGAAATCTGAAAATGAAATCAATATCTCACTAACTGTTGTTTCTCGTCTATAGTTAATATTATGCATAAAATGCATCACAAATGTCCTGTTTTGTGAAGAAAAAACATAATCTTCCATAATATCCATCCTTGCTTTAAGATTCACTCCACACTGTAGTGGATTCTTCCTTGATGTTTTACACTTCCACCACAAGTTTCACGAAAATCAGGCCAGTCATTTCTGTAATCCTACAGACAGTCAGACGCTAAACCAAGCCAAAACATGACCTCCGTGATGGTGGTCCAAGAATCTATGTAAGAATGAGTGTACACACACTGTATCACACACAGTGCGACGAAGAACAATGTAACCAACCACTGCAAAACAGCTGTGTCAAAGTACCGCTGCTCATATACCCCCCTGTACCACCTATCACAGGAACCATGGACTCGGAGGACTTCCTGAGAGAGGCTCAGATCATGAAGAGGCTGAGGCATGCCAAGCTGATCCAGCTGTACGCTGTGTGCACCATGGAGCAGCCCATCTACATCATCACTGAGCTGATGAAGAACGGCAGCCTGCTGGACTACCTCCAAAGTAACATACCTCATGTTGATCTACCCATGACATTATGAGCTGCTGCTACTTTATGACCAGATCAAAGTCCACTGCTAGTTTGCAAGTGTCAGTGCGACAGCAGAGATTTATCACAGATCAACACAACTATTACGATCCTACAGTGCACAAATTAAAACTTGTTCGCCATATTCAACATCATTTTCTTTATTAGTCTAAGCCAGACGATCCAGTTGCCTTCATCATCAAAATCCATTCCAGGTTCTGGCTCCATCCACTTTCCCATTGAGTTCGTCTTAAACTTGAGTTTTTATTAATATTTGTATGGTTTTATTATTTTTCTTAATTAAATGTAAGGGAATAATTCTGCAGATGAAACCCTGATATCTTCCAGCAGTCCACTTGCTCTGACACTCAGAACATCCATTAGGCCTGCATGTTTAACTCTAAATGCCTGTATAGAAAAGACCATTTTGAAATAGCTGCTAGCAGGCTTGTTCGTTCATACTTTTCATGCTTTCACAAACGTACAAGTTCAACCTCTAAATTCATGCCTTCTAGGGTGAAACTGTGGCTGCTAGTTTAGAGAAACCTTATGTTTTGCCGTAATATTTGTTTCTGTATATATTAAATGTAGCAGACAGAAGGAATGTATATTATTTAAAAGTGAATGCATTTCCTGGATGACCTTTAACTGAGGGCAGTCTTAACATGCTCAAATGATGGCTTCTCAGTGTGGCATAAAGCCAGTGAAGATCACATGTAGCAGACAGAGAGTGAGTCTGAGCTCAGCGGAGGAACATATTGCCCAGTGGGGTGTGAGATGTAGTTTCACATCAACCATAAGTCACCATACACCCTACTGCTGTAACCTCTCATGGCTAAGACATGTTCACAAGGTCATGCTCACTACATTTAAGTAGAGAGAATAATAAGAGTAATCATTCAGCCGTAATTTAGATTTGTCAAAGTTTCCTGCTTCCATCTAGCATTGGACACATTTTTGTTTACCACCATATCATGCAAATGTGTTATTTTACATCTTAATAACATCTCCAGATTAGATATATAAAAAATATACTTACTTCTATCACCATTGTCTTTATGCCATGACAGTATCTTTAGACCTTTAAGCATGCTAAGACTGCACTGATTATTCCTCTGTCCTGCTTCCAGAGGATAAGGGCGCCATGCTGGGTATCTCTGACCAGATAGAGATGGCTGCCCAGGTGGCGTCAGGCATGGCTTATCTGGAGCTTCAGAACTACATCCACAGAGACCTGGCAGCGAGGAACGTGCTGGTGGGAGAGAACAACATCTGCAAGGTGGCTGACTTTGGCCTCGCCAGGGTCTTCATGGTGGGTATGACATTTAAAGTGCTGTAGTATACTGTATGTCATAGTTACAAACTAAAATACAACAGTATACACTGCCATGAAAAAATGTACACAGCCTGAAATAAGTACTTGACCCTGTTTACTGCCTAAAAAATACGCCTCAGGTTGTGTGAACATCCAGACATCAGTGTAGTCTGGTCATGTTGTGGATGAACATATCTTTACAATGAAGCTGACTGACTGACAGTTACAAACTATAATGTATTGTCTTGTTTTTAGAAAGAGAATGAAAATGTGTATGAAGCCAAAGAAGGAACTAAATTCCCTGTGAAGTGGACCGCTCCGGAAGCTATGCACGACAACAAGTTCAGCATTAAATCAGATGTTTGGTCCTTTGGAATCCTGCTGTATGAGATCATGACGTTTGGACAGATGCCTTATCCCGGTGAGACTCTCATCTTGCTGGTCATAAATCATTCTGAGATTTAGAAAAAATAGAAAACATTGTAGTCAGAATTCTATGATTTTAAGTAACTTTCCAAAGGTCTCAAAACCCTTCAGGTAAACTGACTATAGAAAATAATTGTCTGCAAGATAAGTACCATTGTCCTTGTGTTTTTCTCCAGCCATGACCAACTACCAGGTGGTTCAGAGGGTTCCCCAGGGCTACAGGATGCCATGCCCCCCCAACTGCCCCAAAGTCATGTATGACATAATGATGGACTGCTGGAAGCAGGACGAGCCGGACCGGCCCACATTCGAGACGCTGCAGTGGAAGCTGGAGGACTTCTTCGACATGGACGTGACCTCGTACGACGATGCTGCCCGGTACTAGCACTCTGAGCCAGCTGTGAGACGCTGGAAGACACAAATAAACTATTCTTTCTGCACTGAAAATAAATCAAAATCACCTGAATCCAAGCATGAACAATTTCACAGATTGAAGTGTAATTAAAATGTCCACTCGGTCAAGTGAAGGATCTAAAATGTTTGATCTGCATGTGATAGAACACTGAGTGGGTCTGGATGCAGCAGTTGGTGAGGACACATGTCTTTGTTAGACAACTCAATGCACTTTCAGACAGGCTGCTGTAACTAAAGCACAGAGACAGAGAGCTGCTATCCGTCCTCCTCCTCCTCCAACTGGTTCTTCCTGCTGAAAGGAATGTGTGCAATACATTCTTTCCATTGCCAAGCTACCTGCCATAAGTCACGAGTCACTTCTGACACGCTCCGTCAGTTCCAGAGTGGCAGGTGCCCTCAACTGCACCCATTCCTAAATGCATAGCTACAAGTGATTTAAGGTTATTTAAAGGAAGGAGACTGTCGTTGGTCCCAGCTAAAGGGGCCCAGTAAATGAAAGATAATAAGACTCTAAACTACTACTTCACTCTTAAGGCCACGCCTTGATTATATAATGAAATAGTTTCACTTAAGCCTTTGTCCCCTGTAAGACAGGTACAAGAGTTAAAATGAGGAATGGATGTGGTTCAGTTTCTACCGAGCCCTGAAGGAAGAATGGACAAACCAAAATGACCTTCTATTCATTTACAACATTATATTACATTTTTAACTAATAATTAGAGCTGCACTGTCATCTAGAATGAATTATAAACAACATATTATTAAGCTTGGTAATAACTCTTCTTCAGCCTCCACGTCCAGTCTAAACCCTCTTTTAGCTTCGTTTTGGTCTCCACCAACTCCTGGGAAAATTAAATCTTTAAAAATACTCCATGGTTTGAAACGGCTTCCTGCTGCATCTGGAACTGTTGATAGCTAGGAGAGAATTACTAATGCATATTATTTACAATTAAAACACAAGTGTTATCTTTGACATCGCATAAACGGTGTGTTAAAGGTTGTTTAATGTAATATCCTTGTAATTTGTGTGCAAAATTGGAGTAATTTGACAGCACAGGTGATTATTATGAGTGCACACAGATGTTACTTATTTATCCTTTAATACCTGCTGGCCCTTTTTTCTAGGCCCCCAAATCTCCCAGCCTGCCCCTGGACTAATGACTCAATGACTGAACTAAGCAACACTATGTGCCCGATCATTAGAAATGATTTGTGTCGGATCTGCGTCCACATTCAGTGTGAGTGGTGGATGATTTCATGCTCTGATGATTCTGTATGATGTTTTTAGTTTCATGACCAACATATTTTAATATTACATCATATCCATGCCATTGTTTATATAATCCTGTATTTTACATTATTAAATGACTTTTATTTACTATGATCTTTGTTTGATTGGTTGCTGAACTACTCTAAGCTGGTTTTGAATGAGATCAATGAGAAGACCATTTACATGTACATGAGAGGGAAGACTTCAAAAGGAATATTAGCACCCCTTTAAGTCTGTAGAAATCAAAGTCTATGTCTATTCTGCTGACCAGAATGTTGACAACTTCCTGAAAAATATTGAATCACTGTTGGTTTGAGTGGCCAAAGTCCCTTCCTGTGCACTTCCTGTTCTTGCATGCAGTGTCCCCCTAGTCTCAAATACCATCTTTCCTGAGTTTTGCCCCTTTCTTTGTAATGTTAGGGACATTTTGGAGAACATTTATTACACCGTTTTAAAATTATTATAAGCTTCAATTGGTTTATTGAAAAATATGCCTTCATGTAATTTGTGTTTTTTTTCACAGGGGAGCGCTGACACTCTGTGAGACATTTAGTGTGTGCACTCAAATCTCTCTGATAGTGTGTATCTCTATCAGGGAGTAGTGACCCTTCTGACCTCGCTCATCAGTAACTATTAACTATTAGTAACTATTAGTAACTATTAGCTATGTGTTGTACATTACATTATTTATTCTGTTATTTCTGATAATACTGAGAGATGTGTTGTCATTTCAATATATAAGTTTATAAACTTGGAAAGACTGAAGTGACCATTTCTGTTTTTATTTAGCCTCAATATTCTTGAGATATTTTCCATACCACAACAATGTTTAGTGGGTATGCTCTACTCCTGGAATCCATCAGGAAGTTCGAGCACAGTAAGAATCAGCGCTATTAGATACATGGAAAATGGAGAGACAATGCTGCTGTTCTGAGATCCTCCCCGCTAGAGAGCAGCATGGCCTGGCACCAGAGGGAAGAGCTTTAGGAGGACATGATGAGGCTTCAGTGCTTCTGTCTGTACATATGTCCATCAAACACATCTAAAGTGTGCAGATCTGTTCTGTATAGTTCATGACAAAGGGTTCAAATAGAGATGAAACATTCACAGAATGAATAAAATTATGAGCAATAGAAGTGCTTCAGATTAATGAGTGTGTCTGACTTAATTAATTTATTACAGGTTTAAGATGCACAGCAGAGTCCGTATGAGGAACTTGAAGAGGCCTTTGATATGGACAGTTTGCAGTGATATGCACCGTCAGCGCATGCCGGCATCAACCGGATATTTGTGTGTTCTCCTTTGAATTGAATGACACATTCATTTCTAAAAGTGTTCAATTATCCACTTGTTGGATAAAGACATGCTGTTTGAAATATCCATCCATCCATCCATCTTCTCCTGCTTATCCGTGGTCGGGTCGCGGGGGTAGTAGTTCCAGCAGAGAGCCCCAAACGTTCCTTTCCCTGGCCACATCAACCAGCTCTAACTGGGGGATCCCAAGGCGCTCCAGTAGTAGTACACATCCCACTTTCGTCACATTAGTATGCATGAAAAGTGACAGGTGGTGTGACAGGTCACACCTCTCCCTACTTATGCAAATGAGCTAAGTCCCGCCTCCCATTGTTCGAGATCCTTTGATGTGAGGGGTGAGGTGTCATCACACGTAGGTGTGAAATGCCCCCTATGTAGCGCCTTTGTTCGAGATCCTTTGATGTGTGTTATAACAGGTAGGGGTGAAAAGCCCCCTGGGTAGCGCCTTTGTTGTCTAATTCTTTGATGTGTTGATTAAGTCTCTTTGAAGTTGTGTTGTATGGCCCCTGCCCCCTCACACCCCTTTGTAGTCTAGTCCTTTGATGTGTGTTATAACAGGTAGGTGTGATATAAGCCTTTGATGTTAATCTAGGTGTTGATTAAGGCAGACTCTTTGAAGTTATGATGTATGGCCCCTGCCCCTCAGAGTTGAATAATTAGCATTTGATGTTTGCCCTTTGATGTGAGGTGTTATAACAGGCAGGTGTGACTTCACACTGGTGTTTGATGTTAATCTAGGTGTCTCTTTGAAGTTATGCGTGAGACTGTCTACCCGCCCCTCCCAGCATCTCCCCCTTTTCTCCACCCCTTCCTGTGGCTATGACGCCAGCAAATAGTGGGGGGTGGAATTAGATGAAGATAGAAATATGCTCAAACTAAATAAAAAGACAGGCATTTCCACTTACCAAGTCACCTTTCAAAAAAGAAAAATGGCCAAGAGACGCCTCGAATGGGGTTTTTAATCAGCCTGTGACAATTTACCGCCATCCGTCCGGAGCATCAGTCAAGAAACGAATGCAGCAGTGCGGGGGGTTCAGACGCCTATAGCCTGTGCACAAACTTATCTCGTGCCCTCTTTTGGTCATGTGCGCGTTCATGTGTGTTGGAGGAGGGGCTCTGTACTTTCAAATTCTAGCTCACTCGAGATGGTTTCTCCAAAATGATCTACCCCCTACCTTTAAGAACAATTAACACACACACACACACACACACACACACACACACACACACACACACACACACACACACACACACACACACACACGATGGAGTTGGCCATTTGATGGGAGTTTTAGAGATAAGCTTGTGATGTTAATCTATATGTTGATTAGGACACTCTCTGTGAGGTGAGAAGCGAGGGGATGGAGTTAGTTTTAAAAAAAAAAGAAACCTTACACTTTTAGTTGTCCTCTCTAAATGAGATGTAAGGTTTTTTTAAATGATTAGTGTTAATTAAGGGCTATTGTTATTTTGTTTTATAAGGGGATAGGAGTTCAACTTTTAAAAATTGCACAGGATCATTCTAAGAAGAGTGAGAGGGCTAATGAGCCAGCACCATACCTCCTCTATGCATTTTCTTGACCTGTATCTGATCTTGAAAAACTTGACTCTTTTAAAAAAAGTTATTTTTCATCTATCATTTTCAACCATGCAGCAAGAGATCAATTTTAAGAATAAGTAATAGTTTGTCACGATTTTACGGGAAATAGTCAGTGCGCAATGTCACATCTTAAAGAAAGCTTGAACTGGATAAATGGTTAGTCTTTTTTCAAACATACCGTACGTTCTGCATGTTAGTATATCTGGCCAATCGATTTAGACCCTACTGCCCTAGACGCATGCCCTCATTAGGGAAGTCACGCTTTGGGAAGAGGTGTTTCATTTCACAGATCCACCTTGATTGTTGTTGTGAGGGGTGAAGGAAGAGGGACGGGGGAGGAAAATTCAGAGGATGAAGAAGCAGAAAACATGTTTGTAAAACGGACAGCACGTCAGTTTCAAGAAAGATGACACCGTGTTTATGCATGACATGCAAAATATCTTGAAGCCCTATAAAATAGTATACACAAGTATATTGTGTTGAAAATATCGCAAAAAGTCGTAATTTTGTACAATGTATTAGTTGCATGTTGTATTTTTCTAGAAATCACTATGTAGTTTTTCAAAAAATATAATGGAAAAAGGAGAGAAAGACAAAAAACAAAATATCACAGTATGTTGAACAAATATGAAAAAGTAATGTGTTTAAAATAACATGAAATAAATCAAAGTAACGCTTCTAAAAAACATATATTTTAGAAAAGTAATGTTAGTCATGTCAAGTTATCAAGACTACTGTGTTTCATTGAAACAGTGTTAAAATCACAAACTTGCCTTTTAGAGAGACATAAAGAAAACGAATTCCTTACAAATTAATTAATATTTTACCCGGTTAAAAAGGTTTGCATCCATTAAAGTGTAACTAAAAGTATCTTAGTAACACAAGAAAAGAGAATAAAGCATTGATGTCAACAAAACTGGATTGCTCCATTGAAATAGCGTTAAAATCAAGAAAATGCCTTTAAAGAAAATGTATTCAGATAAAGTATTTTATTTTCAGAAATGTTTATGGTTTTGCATACATAAAAAGTGTATCTTACAGTTCCTTTGTGAGAGAATTACACACAAATCTGCAGAGTGTCACTAAAAAGTTTTACACAGGGACTGACATTCTGTATGGGGGTTTCACACCTGAGCTGCTGCGGGGGGAGGGCGTTGAAAAGGGGGTGAGTATGTTTGGCTCTCGGGGGATGGTGTGTTAAGAGTCACAGTCTTAAAGAAAATCTGTTCAGAAAAAGTACTTAACTTTCTACCAGTTGTAAAGTTGTCATACATATAAAAAAAGTAAGAGACTACTGTTCCTTTGTGAGAGAATTACACATAAATCTGCAGAGTGTCTGTAAAAAGTCTCAAAATCACAAAACTTGCCTTTTAGAGTCAGATTCTTAACGAAATCTACGGACACAAAGTCTACTTCATTATCTACTTTTCAGCTTTTAAACACAAACGTGTATCTTTCAGTAACTTTCTCAGAGAATTTAAACATAAATCTGTCAAATGTTTCAAAAACAGCCTTGTTTCACTGAAATAGCCTCAAAATCACAAACTGCCATTAAGAGTCAGATTCTTAACGAAATCTACGGACACGAAGTACTTCATTATCTACTTTTCAGCTTTTAAATACAAAAGTGTATCTTTCAGTAACTTTCTCAGAGAATTTAAGCATAAATCTGTCAAAGATTCTTAATGAAATCTACTAATACAAAGTACTTCATTATCTACTTTTCAGCTTTTATACACAAAAGTGTATCTTTCAGTAACTTTCTCAGAGAATGTAAGCATAAATCTGTCAAATGTTCAAAACAGCCTTGTTTCACTGAAATAGCCTCAAAATCACAAAACTGCCATTAAGAGTCAGATGCTTGACGAAATATACTAATACAAAGTACTTCATTATCTACTTTTCAGCTTTTTAAATACAAAAGTGTATCTTTCAGTAACTTTCTCCAAGAATTTAAGCATAAATCTGTCAAATGTTTAAAACATTATGTTTTTTCTGTCAGACCCTGTGTGCTGAAATCTACTCAAACAGAGTACTTCATGGTAGTGGTCAGCTTTTAAACACAAACTTGTATCTTTCAGTAACTTTCTCAGAGAATTTAAGCATAAATCTGTCAAATGTTCAAAACAGCCTTGTTTCACTGAAATAGCCTCAAAATCACAAACTGCCATTAAGAGTCAGATTCTTAACGAAATATACG